TATCTTGGTGGGACTGGATATCGCGCTCTATTCGAAATCCGGCAATTTAGTGCCCTTCTGTTACCGGATATCAAAAGAACTTGAGTTGTTCTCTTAAATTTTGAGTGAGTTGAACTTCATGCTAAACAATTATAATTTTACAATAGTCTAGTTCTCAGTACGGTCTTTACAATACGCCAGGGATTTTTCTGATCCTTGGTAAAAAAAAACCACGAGTTCTGAGTTACCCATTGTCCGGAATCAATTCCCATCCTGTCATTAAAATTAATCACGTCACGCACATAGTCATTAGGATACGTAATCGGGGTAGCCACTATTCTCGAAAGAATCATGAGACCCGAGCATGATTTCCGGATCAAAATGGACTGCAACTTTTGTTTGAACTTCTTTTATGTGCCACCATAATAAAATAAGACTTGATATTAATCAATGCAGTAAGGACACTATACAGGGTGTTTGAAAAGTTCGTGTCCTTAAGCACTCCAACTGCGAATGTTAACTCGATTTCTGCTATGTGTGTTCGCCAAACCTAGAAACCACTGAATCAACAAAGAATTTTTGCTTCAAGATACCCTAAAAAATTTCAAAGTAGACAATTTTTTCAGCTTCCTTGGAGAATGCGTTATCTGATTGGTTCTTTTTTTTCAACCCCGAAAATGAAAAACAGCTTTTGGTTTTTTTACTACAAATAGTCCTAGAGTTACACTTTCTTCGTATAGCAAAAGTTCTTCAGTAGCTTGCTAACGAAGATTTTTTCATGTGCTGAATCACAGCAGACAGTCGCGGCACCAGTTGCGTTGAAATTTTTTTAGTTTAAAAAAATTGGAGGTCTTATTTTAACATGTATTTGTATTTGAAAACAAGTGCAACTCTCTGACCTTCGTTGTACTTGTTTTCAAAAATTTTGCACGCTTGTGAAGGTTTTGAAGATGAAATAAAAAAAGTTTCGGTGCTGTGCTTTATTGACGAAAAAATCCTGAAACTCGATCTCTTTATTTCAAGGCACGGTATTTCAAAAACGAACTTACTTCCACGAAAAATAAAATTACATGTAAGAAACCTTAAAGAAAGAGCTTTCAAAATGTACACCTAGTTTCCTGTGAATCATGTTTCCTTCTTTGTAACAAGCGTCTCAAGGAAAGTGCTTTGGAAAGCTATATTGATGTGTTTCAATCTAATTAAAAAAAACCAAAAGGAAAGCTGGTTTCATTGAATTAATGGTTTCTAGGCCTAATGAGCACAATAGAACAAAAACCGCGTCAAAATTTGAACTGGAAGTACTTGAGGACACGAACTTTTCAAACACCCTGTAGCTATGGTTAGAGCCAGGCTGGTCAGTTAGGGTATTATGAGGGACCAAAAAATTTGGAAAAAATTTGGAATTTTGCAAGGTTTGGGCACATATTTAGATAGCTTGGAGTCGCTTGTTCCAAAATCACTTCAAAATTTGATAGAAAAGCATGAAAAAAGTTACACCAAAGTGACAACAAGTGTGATGTGCAGCATCGAGGGATCGTATAATCCTCTCCCTCGCCCTGAGCCAAGCTTGAGGCAAATCCGAGAAAATGAGGCTGTTCTAGCGGAACTTATAATCGCGCTAAATTCGAAATCCGGCTATTGTAGTGCCGACGCATTACCGGATACCGATACTTTCTCATGATTTCTGGTAAATCAGAATTCTGGCCCCCCCCCCGCTGATGATTTGCAAAAAATTCAGCGATCCTTGAATCCTTAGTGCTGAAAAATTAGAGTGTGTATGCCTAACAAAATTTACAAATTCTACTGCTAAAAGTATGCGCACTCCAATCAAAAATGGCAAACTTTTCCAATTTGCAAAATTCTTTTAGGGTAAAAGACTGGAAAATGAAATGTCTATTCTCTGCAGAATCTTCAAAACGCCCTGGAGTTCATAAATATTAGGTCGTCCCAAAAGTATTTTCGCTTTTTTCAAACGGTTGCCACAATCGATGGAACAAACCTTTCTAAGAGATCTTGGTAGCGTTCGATGCAGAATTTCATTCTCTTTCTAATGGTTATAAAACTGTTGCAAGACAGTCAATGAGCTTTCAGAAAATAACCAAAGTCTGCGAACCATGCTTTTTGAGATGGTCATGTTTCACGATTTTTTAAAACTTTCATATCAATTGTCAGAAGGATTTCAAGTAACGATTCGATAGAGTAAACCTCATAGAATACAGTGCAACTTCTTCCTCGAGCTACCAAGCTACCAAGATCTCTTAAAAAGGTTTGTTCCATCGATTGTGGCGCCCGTTTGAAAAAAGCGAAAATACTTTTGGGACGACCTAATATAAATCACCTACAACTGAGCTCCTTCGGGTGGAAAAGACAGCTTCCGAAGTATTAAACTCGACGAAACCGTCGGAAATCCATACTTTGTTTAAAAGATTTTCTCGTGATCGGATTTTGATTTTGGAATTGAAATTTCACGAGGATTCTAGAAACCATCAGATGTTTAGAATTTGCTTCCATTTGAAGGGTTTTTATTGAATCGCCGCGAGTGCGTTGGGATAAGTACTGAAAACCCTTCCTGTGAGAGTGGATTCCAATTTTTCGGTGGTTTTCCGAATCTTTGAATAATTTCTTTTCCAAATATCACAACCCGATCCCGAGAAAATCTTTATACAAAGTTGTGGATTTCCGAATGTTTCGTCAAGATCAATACGGCGGAGGCCGTCTTCCACCAGAATTAAGGGCTCAGTCGTTCGGGGTACGCATAATCAAAGTTTATGCTAATACTTGCTTTAAACAGCTATTCCAATACTCAAATCTTGTGTGCGTGCAGAGGATAGTCGTAGAAAGCTGCCAAAAAAATCACAGCCGATTCTATAACCTCCTGTAAGTGGTGTTGTCTTCAATCTTGGTAGAATTGGTAGAATTTAACTATTCTAGAGTAATTCATAGACTTTTTCTGTCATTTTGTATACGATGGTCAGTACCCCATCGCAGCTATATAGAGTTTTTTCGGTTAATTATTGAGCACCACGATTAGCCCGTATTCTTGCCTAAGCATGCTTTCAACCCTCAAATGCCGATATTATCGGATCCCGAGTCTCCAAAATATTGATTTCGTTGAATCCCGAATGATCAAAACCTCAATTTTGTCGGTAGTCGAAGCATCGAGACCTCGATGTTATCGATGCATAGATCTTCAGAATAACGATGTGTGACACTTGCGGCCTTCAAAAATCGGTTTTATCGATTTTCCAGCCTCCGAGGATAACAATCCGGTCGATATTTGGACGTTAATAAAATGGATTTTTGCGCCAGGAGCCTGTACATTATTAATTTTATCGATTTCCAAGTCGTCAAGATATCGATTTTATCGATTTCCAAGTCGTCAAGATATCGATTTTATCGGTTTCCAAGTCGTCAAGATATCGATTTTATCAACAAGTACTCAACATATTTTTTTTATCAATTCGAGGCTCCAAAGTATCGATTATTTCGACTTTCGAGAGTCCAAAATATCGATTCTATCGATTTTCAAATGTCCAAAAAACGGATTTTTGGTGTCTGAAGCTTGTAAAGTATTGATTTTGTTGAATCTCGAGTCCTCAAAATATCGATGTTATCAATTTTCGAACTTCAAAATATGTGTTTTTTTTTGATTTTCAAACTTTTGAAATGTTGTTTTCAATAATTTTCGTGATCCACGCCAACATTTTTGTCGATTTTCGAGTTTTTGCAATACCGATTTTGATATTTCGAGGATTCAAGAAACAGAATTTAGTTATTTGGAAAGGCAATTTTGGGAAAATTTGCAGGGTTTTCAATCGTCAATCAATCATTTTTTTTCTTTTTGAATTTTCGTAGGAAATTTGACCATTCAGTGGCAAGCTCCGCCCACTTTTCGCTCCGCTCCTTCCCAAGCCCCACCTATTCTCTCTTACCCTCTTGCACGATGCACCCACCCTCCAGTAACTTACTCACCGCTAACTTACACCCATACTCGCTCACATTACAGGGGCCAAATACCAAAGACCAAAGATCAAATTAAAACTATTTATCTTTGGAATGCATAGCATATCTCCAGTCCATATCCAAACTCGCCAAACTTCTACATCAGTGGGTAGCTTTTTGAAAATACTATCAGGAATAGTAACCATTCTACATCGCTTTCCTAAGTTTGATAATTTTAGATCTATCACGAAATTTTCCTCAGAGAAACATAGTTCGGGACTGTTCATATGTAGATAAGCACTCCATACAGGCAAGCTTGAATTTTCTGAAGTTTTAAAAGAAAGCTCCTCTGATTTTAAACAAAAACAAGGGTATCAGAGCTCCCCATTGTCATTCTTCAGAACGATAAGCGCAAAACAATGCTTCGTTTAAGCTATAAACTCCCAACTACAGAAGAGATCGAATCGTACTCCACCGGGGGCAGCCAACATGAACGATATCCTGTGCCAGCCACGTGCGTTGCGTATCAAATGTATTTCAAATTTTATATTTACGCTATGACGACTTTCAAGAATTTGGAAAAAGCGCCAGGAGCTCGGTATGCCCATTCTTACGGTTCGACACCATTTTCAATCAATTGAAGAACGCTTAGCTTTGGAAAATAACATTTTATGCGCGGCAAATTGAAAACCGCAAGAGTACAGTATGCTTACTTCAAACTATCGTTCATTTTGGCATACACCCTACTCTACCGAGTTGACAAACTTACATTGAACTGATTACTGATTCTATCCACTGGCACTTTTCAAGGAGATACGAGGTCACATTCGCACCCTAAATCACGCATTTGCCAAGCTCGCTGTCAATTACTAATTATATAGAAAACTTCCAATGAAGCTAATTTAACTTTGAATGTTCTACAGTTTCAGTTCGCTGTGCTCACAGCATTTTTACCCGTATATCTGCAACATTCATAGGGACACAAACTCTCAAACATGCATGTTCAGGGCAGAATACGGGCCAATTTAAGTGTTCAAAAATTCTTCGAAATAAAGCAATAGAGCTGCGACGATTGAAAAATGTATGCAAAATTGAAACAGAAAAACCCTATGGATTATTGTAGACTGGTTAGATTCTACCAATTTCTTTATAGAGTGAAATGACGATATCACTGAAAAGATTTGATAAAAATGGCTGTGATTCTCGTGACAGCTTTCTGCGACTATCCTCTGCACGCATACAAGATTTGAGAACTGAAATAGCTGTTTAAAGTAAGATTTAAGCATAACTTTGATCTTGTGTACCCCGAACAACTGAGCCCTTAACGGCAGTGCCTCACCAAAGTTGAGGTCGCGCCGATCTTCACATATTCTAATATAGGGACCTCTGAATAGACCACTGCAACAAGTCCCACTCAATTTGACCCCCTCCACGCTGGAAAAAAATTCGCTCAAAGTGGTACGCGGAGAGCGATTTGGTACGCGCGGACGACTCCTTCGGTCTCCCCCCCCCCCTTACGCGTTTAAACATGTCTTTCCACTTAGCATCCACCTCCCCTCTGTTGCTGCCACTGTGGCTGAGGCTGAAGTTGGAAGGTACAACTCGTCCACGTTCTCAGACAATGGATCGGACCCCTCCGCTGGGCAAGCCGAAACTGCCAGACTCGCGCCGGACCCAATTGACCAATGAGAGCGGGGCAAATGGGCGGTCCCTCGCGTGACATCACTGCCAGGCAAATGGGAGGCTTCTCCGGCCCTGCTGCAAAGGTCCGCCATTTCTCCGGCGCGACCCTGGCAGATTTGCCAGGCTCGCGCCGGACAAATTTGTCCGGCGCGAGCCTGGCAAATCTGGCGGAGTCGCGCCGGAGAAAATGGGAGGGGTCCGGAGCAGAAATGGGAGGCCTCCGGAGCAGAAATGGGAGGTATCCGGAGCAGAAAATGGGAGGTATCCGGAGCAGAAAATCGGAGGGGTCCGGAGCAGAAGATGGGAGGTATCCGCCGGAGAAATGGGAGGTATCCGGAGCAGGCTGCGTATCGATTTGGCGCGTAGCAAGCAAACGTCTAACTCCACGGTGATGAGTCCTCTGTTTACGCTCTTTGTCCATATTTTAGTCGCCGTTTATTTGATTCTGTTGTTTTTGCGCGTTTCTTTACCGTTTTTTCCTTTTCCGCGTTGCTCTTCGTCGCGTTGGCGTTTATGTTGCTGTAAGTTCCTCGTTTTCAGGTTTATGTTTGAAATTTTCGTGCGGTTGCACTCAATCACCTTCAGTGTTTGGCTCTTTCCGACTTGCTGAGACATCGTAGACTATTGATGGAGTGGTTTTTGTGATTAATTCTGGATTTTCGAAACAATGAGGTTAGTTGCGCAACTATCTAGTGTTGTTGTGATGAAAGTATCGTCTAAATAATCCGTTTATTGCTATAGTGTGGACCCCGGCCAGGTTCCCATAGGTACCTCCGCGGCGCGCCCGCAGCGCATGCCTTCAGTGCGCTTTTCGTTTCGGCTCTGAAGGGATTTCTTTCAATTTCCTCTTTCAAGTGTGTTTGTTCTCTTCTGTAATCTCTACTTTAGATGTAAACGACACACGTCAACTGCTGGTGATGGATTTTTACGAGTCTTGACAGTCTTGCAAGCATTTGTTTCGAAAATCTTGTTTTTTTCTCAATAGTGAAGATTTCGGTGTAGTTCAGAGACATCTCTCCAAATGTTCAGAATAAGTGTATATGCAGTTGATTTTGTGGAGTGTAGATGCTTCTAGCCTTTTGTTACACCATCAGAGCTTTGCAATCGTGCTCTTGAGCTCAAACTTTCTGGGTTTTTTTATGAACAGAAGGAAGACTTTTCAGAATTGTTCTTCGACTTTTCCTGTTGCTTCTATCATCCATCGCTGGTAGTGTCATACACTACTAGCGATGGATAATAGAAGATTCCAGTTATTTATGAGATTGACTGGAATCTGAGCGCTAGTAGTAGAAGTTGTGAAGGTTCTCCTATTGCCTTGGCTTTTCTCGTGTTCGGATTAGAGGCCTCCACATCTCATTTCACTCCTGTTTTCGGTTATAATGCTTTTTTGTTCGTAAGTGAAATGAGAAGCGTTCAAGTCGGGCGCGCGTTGCGTGTGCGCCGCGCTAGTACCTGAAGCTGGCCGGGGTCCACACTATCTCTCTCGTACGTATGCTTACCAAGTCGATCGACTTTTCATCAGACGTTGCAGATCCTCACTATATCGTTTCTGGCTTGAAAGATAGGACAAGGCAAGAGATATGTTGACAAAAGTCTTGGAGGCAACTCCAAACGATGTTGAAGTTTTGTGACTGTTACTGAAGCATTGTGACTGTTACTGTTGCTTAGTCACATCACATTGCTTCCAGTATTGCTTAGCGAGATTAGGGACTAATAAGGCTAGGTAAGCATGTAAATGTGAAATGTTTGAGTCACATAGCTTCTTCTTTACTGTTTATGTGACTTTCAATTACAATTTGCAGAATCGCTTTTGAACGAGCGTTGGAATTGCAAAATGACAATGTTTGTGCTCTCTCAGCACTTGCCATTTTGGATTATAATACGCATACTGTCGAGGGAGCCCAAAGTGCAGTGGCTTGTCTAGGCCAAGCGTATAGTCTGGAGCCGGAGAATCCGGTTGTCTTGGTCCATCTTGCCAACCACTTCTTCTTCAAAGGAGTCAGTGCAGAAATTCTTTGAATTAATTACGAATTATCTATAAAAGGGACCTTTTAAATTTGTCCAAGCTGTTACATCGAGGTGTTTATCGCTTTATCTGAAGGCATCACTTTTTCAGGAAATGAACAAGGTTGAACGGTTAGCGTGGCATGCAATGAGTATGACGGAAAGTGACGAAATCAAGGCCGAAGCTTGTTACATTCTTGCGCGGTTTTTCCATTTCAACAGAGACTATGAAAAGGCGTTCAAGGTAAGTTGCATATGCAAGAATTTCAATCCATGTCATCATCGTGTCCTAGTACTATTATCAAGCAACTACGTTGAATCATCCTACTTTCGTTTTGCCCCAGTATGGCCTTGGACCTCGGAATTCGAAGATGTTTGGATGAATATAGCTCATGTATATATCGCACTTGGACAATATGTCCCTGCTTTGCAAATGTGAGTTTATGGCGTTCCTCGCTGTTTTGTTTCATGTTGCACAGAATGCTTTTTTGATCTTTTTGTCATTTTCTTACCATGTTAAAACCATATGCTTATACTGTGGTGTTACAAGGTTCTTTTTGCAACTAGGAAATTAGTTTTTCTTTGAATATTCTTATCACTCCTAGTATGGTTTTTGTAATATGAATTAACTGTTGTACGTATGCTGGAGATAGATAGATAGATTTTTCGAAAGTTTGATAAATTTGAAATAAATGTCTTATCTCTTCGTTCTTTCTTCTATCTTCTATCCACAAACGCTAGGGGTGAGAGGGAGGGGGTAGAGTACGGGGTGAGGGTCGCGCTAAACTCCTACCCGGGGGGGGGTCCTATTCGGCTTATTTGGGTGGGGTTTAGAGACAAAATTGGGGTTTGGAGCTTAAAGGCAGCGTCCAGGCAAGTCTGGACCTATGGGGATTTTACATGGAAAGTATTTTGGGGCCCTAACTAAGCCACTACCCAACCGGCAGCTCAAGTAGTGCTCTAACGCCTGAGATATTCTGCTCGAAACCGGACCCCGCGACCGTGTTTCGCATGGATTCATGGCGCAAAGAGTGGATCCTGGCGCGAAACTGCCATGAATCCATGCGAGTACGTTCGCGGGGGTCTGTTTCGAGGGGAATATCTCAGCCATTGGAGCACTACCTGAGCTGCTGCTTCGGCAGTGCCTTAGTTAGGGCCCCAAAAGTACTTTCCATGTAAAAGCCCCATAGGTCCAGATCTGCCTGGAAGCTGCCTTTAATTAGGGCTAATTACAGTATGCCGCGATCGGGGGGCTCCGGCGCACAAAATCGGGGGTATCCGGAGCAGAAAATGGGGGGTATCCGGAGCAGAAATGGGAGGTCTCGCCCGAGAAATGGGAGGGCTCCGCCGGACGAATGGGTGACCCACCGCTGGGGAAACGCCGCGACCCTGCCATTTCCCCAGCGGAGGGGTCCGATCCATTGTCTGAGTTGCTTCCGCGGAGCCTCCAGAAAACGGGTTTTGGGAACTACGTGCAATTTTAAGCCCATACAGTGCTAGACAGGGTCCGACAGGCTTGCAAAATGCAAAAATCTTGGCAGCTGAATTTTGGTGAGACACTGCCTTTAATTCTGGTGGAAGACGGCCTCCGACGTGTTAATCTTGACGCAACCGTCGGAAATCCATAACTTTGTTCAAAAGATTTATTCGTGATCAATTTTGATATTTGGAGGGAAATTCCACAAAGATTCGAAAAACCACCGAAGATTCAAAATCTACTCGTTTAGTAAGGGATTTCAGTGAACACCCCAACGCACAGTCGCGACGATTCAATAAAAACCTTCGAATGGAAACAAATTCTAAACATTTGATGGTTTTTCGGTCCTTGTGTAATTTCTTTACCAAAATCAAAATCCAATCACGAACAAATCTTTTGAACAAAGTTATGGATTTCCAACGGTTTCGTCAAGATTAATACTTCGGAAGCCGTGTTTTCCACCCGAATTAGGGGATCAGTTGTAAGACTAAAGCCTGAACGAAATATTCAAAAGCCGGCCTCATTTCAAAAGTCTCATGGAACTCACGGAAATCATAATATCTGGGTAATGTGCAGAGTCAGAAACGCTAGTTTTAACTTTTAGATCATGAACTTTTCCAAGAGGTCAAGAGATTGGAAAGTCAGACTTTATAATTTGAAAGGTTTTGGAAGATCCAAAGAATTACGAAAATACGACTGAGAATATCCGGACAGCCGAAATGCTTGACCAAGGTCGTAGGAGTCTGCAACCTATATTTGAAAAATAGTGGAAAAAAATAGGTGGTATTCTCTTAACGGGCAACGACGAGTCAAATCTGAGAAAGTGATCTTCTTCTGGTTACCGCAATTAATTTTCATGGTTTTCTGAAAGCTTTCACGAACTTTCACATTGCTAAAGTAACTGCGATACAAAAAAGCACTTCAATTTCCGTACTTCGCGCGAGATTTACGCGGTAAAAAGTGGAAATTCTAATTCAAACCACTTTCTTTCGTGTGCCTACCTCCTTTTCAGCTCATACCAGAATCCTCGTTCAATGCGAGGGTTTCGAAGTTATCAAATAGAACTCTAACCTATCGAGATCTGTTGTCACGATTCAAAGAGTGAAGCCATTTGACTCTGAAAAAGCGACAAATTCTTATTTTAGCATTAGAATTTATGCCTAGAATTGCGATCTCACACGAATTTGATGATGGCACATAAGCCATCGGTTCAACAGCAAAAAAAATTTGTTGCTTATTGATCACATAATATTGGTCGATCTGGAAACTCTTGCCATCAATGAAATCCTCTAAAAATTTTTAAAACCCATCGGATTCATCCGAATGTGTCGAAAACTGAGAAGTAATCTTTTAGCATTCATTCTGAGAATCAAAGCTATTTTCATACGAGTATCAAGATAATGTTACATATATGAAAATAGCAATGTAAGTTCCTTGTCAATCGATGTTCGAATGGCACTGATTCAATATCGGAACTTCCACATGGTGTCAATGTGCAGGTACACCTAAGCCGACTCAACGAGACGTGTTCGCAGACGGTAAAGTAGCGCAACGTAGTGGTACGAGCGGTTAGACGCGTACAGTTCCAGAATTTACCAGAGTAACACACATCTGAGCACCATAATTGTTTACCCAAATTACATCATGATTTGGAGAAACAATTATGGTGCCCAAATGTGTGTTACTTTGGTAAATTGCTGTTACTACGCTCAAATTTTTCACTAATTATTTTTCTCCGGAACCAATGAAAACCTTCATGATTTCAGAATATGCAATTGCAGAGAACCAAATTATCGAAATCATTGTTGAAGATGGAACATCTGAGATAAACAATTTTTTGGAGTAAGTTTATGCTAACCAACTTCATCAACTTCATGCTGAATATATTATAATGAATATTATTTCCATGATTATTTCGAAAATGGAAGTGAAATCTGAACCAATCACTTCAACTACTCATTTTTGTAAGTTTTCATTTTGCTTAAGTGGCTATAGTTAAGCATAGGTTCTGTAAGGCATAAATCTAACTTCTCGGCACTAATGATTCGGTGATCGTTTAATTTCCTGCAAATGATCAGTAACGAGCGTCCAATGTTCTGCTATACCAGAAATCAAGAAAAAATAGTAGGTTGAACTTTCTTGAATTTCAAGTGAGTTGAACTTTCATGCCGAACATTTATAATTCAACAGTAGGTCTAGCCAATAAACCTATGCAATACTGCAGGAATTTTTCGGATCCTTGATAAAAAAAAATAACACGAATTCTGAATCACCCATTGTCCGGATTCAATTCCCACTCGTCCATAAAATTACTCACGCAGATTATGGTTGTAATCGAATATTCGTATTTGAAGATTCTATTTAAAAAGAACCGAATATTCGTATTCGAAGATTCTATTCAAGACATTCTATTCGAATATTCGAATAATCGAGTAATCGAGAGTGTGCGATTATTCGATTATTTGAACAGTCGAATAAACGAAAATGTCTTCATTCGAATAAGTCGTTCAGACAATTCGAAAAAATAACTTATTTTAAGATTCGAATATTCAAGGATTCTTAAAAGACAGTTATTCGAATATTCGATCATTCGAGAAGTTTTGTCCCGTTGTTCGAATATTCGAATATTCAACTACTGCGTCTGAATATTCGAATATATTGCATCCGAATATTCAAGGTATCCATTTATTCGTCTATTCGAGTAGTCGAATATTCGATAAAGTTCGATTATTCCAATACTCAAGAAATTCAATTTTGGAATGTGCCCATATTAGAATATTCAAATTCGAGTAATGTAAAAATCGGTATTCGAATAATAATCGTTTATTCAAAAATTTTCACAGACTATTCGTTGTTCGTTCATTCGATGAAAATTTCCATTCGTTACAACCATCGCGCAGAACAAGATTTTCAAACTTTGAAAACGCTTTCTCGTTGTTCCAGCTGGTTCCAAATATCAAAGCTAAAGTTCAATTGGTTGAACTTCAAGTTGCTATCGCAAAGGCGGCAACTTCCGGCGCAACAACGCGTTCATATACATATGTAGTATGCTTTCAAGGCGGCAGAGATGATTTATTACAGAACTCAAATTTGTAACTTTTTTGAAAACCAAAATCGATTTTATGCTTACTCGCTAGAAAAATCTGATTCTTTCGCACCTTCAAAGGCAGATTTATGATGAATTAGTTCAAATTTGAGCGGGATAGATTGATTAGTCTTCCCGAATCTCTTCATTGCGGATGGACAACAAAATACTTGAAACGCTCAGCTTTTCGTAAAATCAGAACTTTCGCAAACTTGCTCGAAAACGATTTTTCATTAGGAAAAACCGGAAACTTGCGCTTGAAAGAGATAAGGACATTTCAAATGAGGCTCCGCTCCTCATTACCTGCCCTCCAAGCCAAAATTGAAAATTGCTCAGTTTTTGTGGCAATTTTCTCAGCAAAGTACATGAAGAAATGACTTTTTTTGTTGAAACTTGCGTAGAAAAGGGGTGATGAGCTTTTTCGAATATGCCTTTATTTCAGAATCTCGAGATTTACCCCCCTTCGAAACCAAAATTAATGGAATGCCCAGTTCTTCGCTGGAAAAAGTCAGAATTTTGAGCATTTTACTTCAAAGCCAGATTTGGGATTTGTGCGCTCAGATCTATCCCCTCTTTCTTCGAGACCAAAATTGCTAGAACGCTCATAAATTTTTGATTTTTCGCTGAAAAATCAGATATTTTCGCAAACTTGCTCGAAAAATGAATTTATGATTCGAAGCTTGCGCGTGAAAGAGACATGGACACTATGAAATGAGGCTCTGCCCGGCAGAACAAATTTTACCTGCCCTCCAAACCAAAACTGATGAAGCTCATCTACATTGAAGTATCAAGTTTTCCGCAAACTTTCTCAAAACGACTTTTTGATGATTTCGTCAAAATTTGTGCAGAGAAGGGTGATTAGTCTTTCCGAATAAGGCTCTGCTTCATGAACTTCGAATTTTGCCCCCCTCTAGACCAAAGTGGGGAAAATGCTAATCCTTGCTGAGAACCAAGCGATTTTTGAGCACTTCCTTTTTAGGAACATTTGATGCATTTTCTTGAGATGTGTGCACAGGATGACTGTACTTCGCAATTTCTAGAATTCCCAAAACTATCCCCTCCCCCTTCAAAACCACAATCAATGGAATGCTAGGTTTTTTCTTTAAACAATCACAATTTTCCGTAAACTTGCTCAAAAAATAACGTTTCCATAGTTTTCCTGAAACATGCATAAAATATGGAATTCCCAAAAGGAGGCTGAAGGCTACATGCGTAGAGTGAAGGTAAGAAAGCCATTAAGCGATATGAAAATGTAAGGTTGTCTTGCGAGTGGACAAGCCGAAAGAAAGATCGATAGCTGGAGTGATTCTGTACACAACCATTTCAACTACCATGGTACGTTGATATTTCAACACATAGCAAGTGCAGCAACAAAATAGATGAAGGTAACCGATAGGTTATCGATAATTTTCAAATTTGATGATTTTGTGATCAGCGTGCACACATACACCCCTATGCCAAATTTTAGCCGCTTAGCTCAAAGTTGAAAAATATCTGCTCCGTCGCACCCATAGTGCAAGCGAATCTCTCGCCGGCAAAATGGCTGCTGGCCTCTCCTCTCGCCATCACAGAGCGCCGTTGTATTTTCGCATTCCTTTTTCTGGATTCCTTCAGCAACTGGACCCTCCGTCACGCTGGGGTTAAGGATAGGAGGGACGCAGAAAACTCTGCCGTCGCGCTTGGAAGGATCGAATGTATATTATAGTAAGGATTTTGCATTGGAAAGCCATCAAAAACAAAAGCGAAAAAAAATCTTTTGACATTTATTGAGACATTCATGAAATGCAATCGATTAGAGGTTTAGCATAGAGCTAACAAGACAATAAAAATAACAGAGATCAATTCTAGTTGTAATGTAGAGTTGCAGAGATCCGAGTTGCAACAGCAGTAGCTAATTGAATATTTGGATTTTGGACGTGTAAATTCATTACAATTATTCTCCTGCAAATCATTTCATTAGACATCTTAGCACTTGCCACTGGCGTCCCCTACTAAACTCAATAGGAGCTGATTCACATACAGAGCTCTATGCTTTTATGATGACCATAATATTGATAAACTAGCTGGCATACCCGGCTCCGCCGTATGTTCCGAATAGAAAATTCCATTTCTTAACCGATCGGGACCAAACTTGGCACACATACACTTCGGGCCCCGGCGGGTGTCATAGGCTACTTTTCGTCATAGATCGATGTCGATTTTATCGATTTTTTGCAAAATTTGAGCTACGGGGCTGGGAGTTGGCACAGGGGGGTAATCGAGCATGCTGATCACCCCCGTGGGGGTGATCAGCATGCTCGATTACCCCCGTGGAGGTGATCAGCATGCTCGATTACCCCCCTGTGCCAACTCCCAGCCCCGTAGCTCAAATTTTGCAAAAAATCGATAAAATCGACATCGATCGATGACGAAAAGTAGCCTATGACACCGCCGGGGTCCGAAGTGTATATGTGCCAAGTTTGGTCCCGATCGGTTAAGAAATGGAATTTTCTATTCGGAACATACGTACAGACAGACAGACATACAGACAGACAGACAAACAGACATTCAGCTTTGTATATAAGATATACTTCACATTCTCGAGATAATCATTGTCTCAGTTAAGCAATGCTGTTCAAATCTCACCGAAAGTAAAAAAGAATTTGAAGCTGAAGGTCCAAAGCAGTAGGCTTTTCAATCCAAAAAGGGCTTTGAGAAGTTTTTGAAAGTTACGAGGCACTTTGCGAAATGCCAAATGTCGAGCTTTTCCAGCTAATGCATGTACAAGTGATTCATAAAAACTATTGGTCAGTCCATGCTCGCTTTGAACTACATTTATATCAGAAAATCTTGGAATTTTTTTTTGCGAAATTGCTCGAAGGACTACGCCCTACGACATACGGACCTACCGGACATTGATATGACTCATCACATCCTTGTAAAGAAAGCTTTTCTCCTTCATCTTTCTCGCTATAGATGTGCATGCTCGTACAAAATGCTCCGTTTCTGTTCACGCACTTTTGCACTTTATCTAGAATTGATTCTTTAGTTAATGTATACAGAGGACCTTAAATTCTGAAATCTCTCAAAGCTAACAAAAACCGCCACGCTTTGAGCAGTCAAATCTCGCCTCGACCTGAATTGGAAAGTCGATTATTAAGCAGTGTTGAATATGAGTACACTGGACAGAATGGTTCCTGGTAAAACCCCCCTCAGATCAAATAAACCAAATGTGATCATTGTTACAAAATGCCGATTTTGGCTATGATGAGTTCTAAATAATTTTGATTCAGAGTCATATCAGTTCGATAAGGGACACGCTCTACTCATTGTTAATTCGGTATATAGGCACCCGCCATACTTGATCCGCTTAATCCGCTTAATCCACTTGATCCGCTCGATCCGCTTGATCCGCTTCGTGCAAAACGCGCGCACCTGCGTTTGTCATTTGACACCGCGTAGGGAAAAAGGAATTTCATATGGTTACGCAGTTTCGCTGTACGCGACGTCAAATGACAAACTGCAGGTGCGCGCGTTTTGCAGGAAGCGGATCAAGCTGATTAAGCGGATCAAGCGAATCAAGTGGATTAAGCGGATCAAGCGGATCAAGTATGGCGGGTGCCATACGAAGAAAAATCTGCAATCAGCGTTTTTGCGCTCCAAAATCTCTTTCAGAAAATGCCACCGTCTGGAAACGATTTGCTTGCCAAGATTCCATTTAGAATCACTAAACAGCTTCAGCGTTTATTTGCAGTTGCGGTAAAATCCGCCGTTTTTCACTCATAGCGCCAACGGCTTTCATGTAATTCTGGAAAGATGGCTATTCTTGCCTAATCCAACACCACCCTGCTTTGTCTTAACGCTAGCATCTGCTCTACGGAATATATTGGCACTTGTAAACCTCCGTTATTCCATATCAGTTGAGGCGGACTGACTTTACGACGCCACAGAGCAGCATCGATCATGCCGTCGATCTAGATGCGGACCGCCTTGTACTTCATGCGCGTTTTCAACGGAAAGAACGTCTTCGCTTTGTGCAGACTTAGTCGAATGGATAAAACTGTCGCTACTGATCGACACGGCGGTGGTTCGCAATCCAGCGGCAACTTTTTCCTACATAGCACAGCCATCTTTAACACGTTTCGGACAGCGAAATCGCGCGCGGCGAAAGAGTGTACTTTTAGCCATTTGTCAACAAAAGAACCTTATTTCACAGCCTGTGTGCTACATCTGTAATCAGCGTGTCGGATAAGTCCCGTACCCAAACTTTTGAGTGAATTCGAAGTGTTTAAATTTTGTCGCTTAAGAAGGACTTCTATGCTTTCCTGAAAGATAGGAAGAACTCAGTTTTCAATAGTATTCAAAAGTATCGATGTTGTTAACGATACACATCAATATTGAAACTACGGTTTTTCTCTTTGCATTCAAAGCTAAGAAAAGTTGCGATGTCGTACGCGTCGTTCGCGTTGCCGCACTTCATTCCAACTGTTGTTCGATTTGTCCTCATGTCTCCTAAATAAATATCGGCAGCACGACTCTACAAAGTCATTTGAAAAGTGGAAGCTTAGCCCTTTGACTTGATAACCTTGGACTAGAAGAAAACCTCTTGTAAATTCAAGAAGATTCTTCAAAGCAGCGTGCTACACCATGTGCAGCACCGGTCCGAAACCTGTTAATGTCGGCCACCATGAAAAATCATTGATGACTGTTACGAGAGACTTTGAGCAAACGAGGAAGACGAAACAAAAGGAACGAAGTTACGATAGTTCAACATAAACTTTCATAAAAATTGCAATTGTTCAAAATTATATAGAGAAAACGCAGTTTCCCAAAAATGAAAGTATCCTTTGCAAGGAAAGTAGATAAAAACTAATTTCTTTTCCTACGGTTGTGATCAGTCGTACATCGATCCTCTCCATCCGGAATTCCAAAAGCGTGCAGTTTCGCACCCTAGCGTCTATGGCCTAAGGCACACCCGCGCGATTTGGCACAACAGCGACTTTTCGTAAATCATCATTGAGCGCTGCCTTTGGTAAGAACTTGATCCGTTTGCAACAACTTACACATGCTACCCAAATATGCTAATAATATAAAATTCGAGAAGAACCACGACAAACTTGTAAAAATCTGGCAAATTGCCAAGACGCGCGAAAGTGGCGATTTGGCCGAATCACGTTAGGTATAGCGTTTCCCATGCGTACAGCGGGCATGACCGTGCAGACATTTAAACACGTTAAGAAACTTGTTGAACCTCCTCTAAAGGGGTGGTAAAACGAACACCTCAATTAGGCACCGCCTTTGGAGACTGCTGGTCCTAACAGGACTAATAGGACGAAAGGACCAGCAATCCGCGGAGGCGAGCCTAATTGAGGTGTTCGTTCCTCCACCCAATGGCGCCTATTCTTGGTGCTCGGCCTCGATTCGTCAAAAACGATGTCTCTTTTGCTTTTTGCTCCAAAAACAAAGTCCAGCCTGCTTCCAGACGATCTGTGCCCGGCCCTGACCTAGTACGGCACGATTCATCTTGCATGCTGTTGAAATGTGCTCAAGCATCGATGTTCTAACGGAAAGCGCACTTTGCGAGGGCATGCATGAGATTTTTCATGGTAACAGCAACACACACTTACTTTTTCCCGTGGCTTTCCTATATATTTCTTGTATAGTGGCCTTCATAGGTGCATGCTCAGGTATGTCCTTCATGATCTCTTCGATATATTGTTTATCATCAGAAGAAATATTCAATCTGCATTTCAAGGGTTTGACAGGTGAAATTGCCCTTATGATGATGGTTATCATTAACAAGACATTTAACATAGTGCCTGAAATAGAGGGCTAAAGTAGTGATGATGCTGCAAATGAACATACTCTCGGTAGTGAAGTGTACCGAGTACCAGCTTATTAACAATGAATGTACCATCCATGCATGTTTTGACATCACTCCTTCGATAAAAAGATGCAAACAATACATCAACTTTTTCCAGCTTATGCTATTGGTAAAGATAACAGAGCGGCAGCCGGCAGCAACGCGAATAACTGTCATGAAAATATTTTACGCAACCGTTCCATCATTCTAACCCCTAATCAGGCAAAAGTACCGAAAGACGGCCACTATTACCGGCCAAACGGATTCAACTTTTCCGGCTTCCGGTGAACGCGGCCAGGCCGATATCTGCGACCGCTCCCACGGCCATTGTGGGCGCTCACTTGTCAAGTTATCACTCTGCTCGCCCAGTCATTGTGGACGCTCGACCAATAGGCTCAACCGGACTTTGTGACCTGCGGCTCAGTGTTGTGGATGAGGCCCGTATCTTTGACCACTCCTTCGGGCATCCGGCCCTTCCTGTCCAATTTGTGTCACTTCTTAATTTGCATAAGAGCAATACCACAAAAATTCATATCTTTATTGACAGAAACTAGCTTTTGTGATATCAGACACACCAAGGACGAATTCCATGAACATGCATTAAGCATTTCACATCTAGACCCTCATTTCAGCGCGTGTCATAAGATCCTGGTCGCTTTTTTTTCTCTCTGAAAGAGTATATGCAGTAGTGAAAAACTGCTGTTTCTATCACAGACTGATGTATTATTTTATTACATTCATTTCATTCATTTTATTGCTGGAGTTCATCTCTCGAATCCACTCTTGCAGTGAAAAAAAGACAATGTTGTAATGAGAAACCGGCTCAAGATGGCGCAAGTTGATATTTTTCCCATCACAAACTCAAATTCATCTATATTGTTTTTTACTGCATAGGTGTCTAGTGCTTAGTAGTAAACTGGTAGGCTTCTACGAATAGGGGACAGGAGGTACGAATTATGTACTCAAGCAAAAGTACCAGACGAGCGGCTGACCATGAGAGTCCCGGACGAGCGGCCGCACTTACCGGCCGAGCGCACTCTGTCACCGAGTGAGCGGCCTGCAACCTGATCACCGGGCGGGCGGTCACATCATCATCTCTGTGGATGGCTAAGGCCATACGATGTTAAACCGCGGCGGTCAGTGCGGATAAATTAAGCTTCAGTTACTTAGTGTATAACTATGAAAAGGCGTAATTTTCGTGTATTTTTCAGGTTTTTTGCGAGCTTAGTGGAGAACAACGAAGAGCGTGCGAAGACTTCTGATGGATTGGCATGTAAAAGAATTGCTTACAAACGGGTGCTTGTCAAAGCTCGACGAACGGCTTTGTAGTTGTAGAAATGCTCCATATTACGGCAGATCAATCATCTCTTGTTCACACATGACATACGCTCTTACGGATACGTAGGGGATAGAAGGCGATATACAGACATTTTTTTCTTCCTGTCTTGTGCACCCATGCATGTAATGCATGGAGAAATAATGAAATTTGGTTGATTTTCTCACATCTGGAAAATTGCTCAGGAGTTTGCTTCTGTTTCATCTTCTGAATTTACCCATTGTTTTTGCGTACTATAAAAAAATGTTTAAGACTGTTCAAGCTCCAGCGCTGCCAGCCCGCAGTTCCAAAAGACAAAAGCCAGCTTCCGCTTCCAACCGTTTTCCGATGTCTCAAATCCGTCGTTTATGCAAGCCAAAACGCATATCGCTCCCACACCATAATCTTATATATAAAGCTGAATGTCTGTTTGTATGTCTGTCTGTATGTCTGTATGTATGTACGTATGTTCCGAATAGAAAATTCCATTTCTGAACCGATCGGGACCAAACTTGGCACACATACACTTCGGGCCCCGGCGGGTGTCATAGGCTACTTTTCGTATCGATCGATATCGATTTTATCGATTTTTTGCAAAATTTGGGCTACGAGGCTGGGAGTTGGCACAGGGGGGTAATCGAGCATGCGGATTCCGAATACAATATTAGTTTTTGAAACCGTGCATTACTTTTATCGATTTTATCGATTTTTTTGCAAAGTTTAAGCTACGGGGCTGGGGTTTGGCACAGGGTGGTAATCGAGCAAACTTGGCACACAGCTCGATTACACCCCCTGCCAAATTCCAGCCCCCTAGCTCAAATTTTGCAAAAAAATCGATAAAATCGATAAAAGTAATGCACGGTTTCGAAAACTAATATTGTATTCGTAATCAGCATGCTCGATTACCCCCCTGTGCCAAATCCCAGCCCCCTAGCTCAAATTTTGCAAAAAATCGATAAAATCGACATCAATCGATAACGAAAAGTGGACTGTGACACCCGCCGGGGCCCGAAGTGCATGTGTGCCAAGTTTGGTTCGGATCGGTTAAGAAATGGAATTTTCTATTCGGAACATACGGCGGAGCCGGGTATGCCAGCTAGTATGACCATAAAATCCCCAAACAACTCTGCGTTTTGATCTTGGAGTGCTTTGCGTCCGTCCAAACTCAGACTTGGAGTCTTCGCGAAAACATATTTTCAGTATTTACATGCTCCAAACCTGCACTTTCCAAATCGTGGGATAGATAAGCTCAAATAAGCGGAAAATGTTCAAGTTGAGATTTTGCCGGGCGTTGCTTCTAAAAGCAATGTACGGGTGAGTCGAGTAGCGTTGTCTCTCACAAGGAATTCGACTGACAATGAAAGCCTTCATAAACTAGCGCATGCTGCAGCTAATATGTGTTTATTCGTGGAAGAAGAAAGAGCGTGATACCGCTAAATGTTCCGACCGTAATATACAATCGGCATAATCGGTGCACCTTAGATAAGGAAGCTGACTGTTGCGCTGAAAAAACAAAACAACGCAGCAAAAACAGCAAAAAAAGTTAAACATATGAATTTGCTACTTGCGCAATAATTTGGACTAGCCTTCGAAGGGTTGTTTCCACTTGGAGTGAAGTGTCGTTGAGAACCTTGTCCTGTGCAAAAATCTTGTGCAAAAAGCGATTGCAAATCTTTTGCACTGTACATCGAAGTTAGATCCACCACACAGAGGAGTACAAAAACGGTAGGGTTTTCTCACTCAAGTGGAGAAAAACTGTATACTACCAAAAAGGCAAATTTTGAAAGTGTCGGAATCTTAAAAGAAATAGGCTCTTTCGGTACTATCGCAATATTTTCCTTCAAAAAAAAAATAACCTGGCTCAACTTTAACTTACCACGGGCTGCACAATGAGCGAAGTGCGCGCTGCCCCACTGCAGTTCAGACTAAACTATGGTTCTCAAACTAAAGGCAAAAATTCTTTGGCAATTTCAGCTTCGGAAATTTTTCTTGTTATGTTCTCTTGTTACAGGTATATAATCGACTCAGCATTTATTCCAAGCGAGAGAGCCAAATAATCTGGGAGATGCTGAAAATTGCATCGATGTAACTTCAGCAAACAAGCAACACACTTCGACAGGCAACATGCCAGACCAAACGGAGCGACAGCGAAACACATAGTGATTGATAATGCGTTACATCCATGAAAAAGACTCCTGCAGCATTTCGGGAATTTGTAGAGTGTCGTTCATGCTGTCGAATGAAGCATAACTCTGATAGTTGTTGTGGCTAAGGCTTTGTCTGTTCAGATTTATTAGGCTGACGTTTCAACGCCTTCGAATTCTTCAGGGCCTAATAGCCTTGCAGAAGTAGGCGACCACCCACAGTGAATACTATGTTTCTGCAATTTACTCGTTACCTTCAGTAACCTAGGGATTATAGGCAGTGTATCGCAATCTTAAATGATTCTAAACTGATTTACTGAACTTGTGGCCTTTGAAGGCTTAAAAACTCAAAACTGGAGCGTATGCCTTTCCAAGGAACCATTACATGAACCCACCTGTGTTTCCGACGCTTAAAGGCAGTGTCCGGGCAAAAACTCGATTTTTAGAAAATCCACTTACCAGAGGTTATCCGCAACGCTGAATCCGAAAATCCACATTAGAAGGCGCGAAGACGGCGAGAACATACATCTTCCAAAGCCGCACAATTTGAAATTTGACGGTCCCCACCAAGGCAGAGACGCAGAGTCGCTGCGGAACCCTACATTTTAACTGTGGCGGTATGCGTACTCTGCCGCATAGCAGCAATTCGGACAGCTCGGAGGACCCCGCCCTAAGGCGTAAGTCCCCACTTTTCGGCCGTTTTTCTTGCTTTAGGTCAGCGTTATGACGTCGCACTTGCGCGATGTTGTGTCTGAGGGAGACACTCTCGCATAGCATAAATCCCAAAACCCACCTAGTGCCCGGACACTGCCTTTAAAGACAGCGTCCACCCAAAATCACCCCAACCAGATTAGCATATACTTGTCAAACGGGCCCCAGGAGTATCCAGTCTGCGCTGGACCGATCCTTTGACATATAATCGGAGCGAACAAGTAAAGCCGGAGTTCTAGTGAAGTGTTTGAACATTGCACTGCAGATTCATTCTTTCTTTATAGTGTAGAATGAAGCCACTACTTTGGTGTTATATGGACACAAGCCGACATTAACGTATGGCCCCGGGCAGACTTCACGCGATTTGATCGTCGCGACTGAATCGCGACAAGACAACTGTTACAACATCATTCCATGCCAATCAACTTGAATTCGGTTGTGATACTTTTCCAGCCCGAAATTTTCGAATGTGAAATGAAAATGAGTGGAAATCTTGGCGATTAGATCGCGACGATTAAGTCGCGTGAAGTCTGACCGGGGCCTATGGAACTTCCTCACGGATAATGATTGCGGATAATGATAACTTCCTTAACGGATAATGATTGCGTCAAAGAGAATGTCAAAGGGATACGGCAGCGTTCAGCTGCCGTATCCCTTTGACATTCGTCTCCATCAAGGCAGTGACGTGGTACTAGCTGGCCGCAGTCTCGTGATTGGCTAGAGTTTGTCGAAGCTGTTTTGAAGGCGTTCATGTAAACCTGGAAACATATCCACGAAAGTCAATATTGGACGGAAAGGACATTTTTAGTCAATTTTATTCGTTTGCGGTACCAACTGGTCGAAAATGCCTTTGCGATATAACTACAAAATTTTCATCCCGTCGCAACCGCGAGACAAAGCTG